GTAGGTTTAACACACGGTGGGTTGAACTTACGGTGGGTTGAACACACGGTTGGTTGAACACATGGTAGGTTTAACACACGGTGGGTTGAACACAAGGTGGGTTGAACACACGGTAGCTTGAACACACGGTGGGATGAACACACCGTGGGTTGAACACATGGTGGGTTGAACAAACGGTGGGTTGAACACACGGTGGGTTGAACACACGGTGGATTGAACACACGGTGGGTTGAACTAACGGTGGGTTGATCACACGGTGGGTGGAACACACGGTGGGTTGAACACACGGTGGGTTGATCACATGGTGGGTTGAACACATGGTGGGTTGATTACACCGTGGGTTGAACACACCGTGGGTTGAACACACCGTGGGTTGAACACACGGTGGGTCGAACACACGGTGGGTCGAACACACGGTGGGTTGAACACACGGTGGGTTGAACACACGGTGGGTTGAACACACGGTGGGTTGAACACATGGTGGGTTGAACACTCGGTGGGTTGAACACACGGTGGGTTGAACACACGGTGGGTTGAACACACGGTGGGTTGAATTCACGGTGCGTTGAACACACGGTGGGTGGAACTCACGGTGGGTTGAACCCATGGTGGGTTGATCACACTGTGTGTGGAACTTATGGTGGGTGGAACACACGGTGGGTTGAACACACGATAGGTTGAACACATGGTGGGTTGAACACTCGGTGGGTTGAACACACGGTGGCTTGAACACACGGTGGGTTCAACACACGGTGGGTTCAACACAAGATGCGTTGAACACACGGTGGATGGAACACACGGTGGGTTGAACACACTGTGGGTTGAACACACAGTGGGTTGATCATAGAGTGGGTGGACCACATGGTGGGTTGAACACACGGTGGATTGAACACAGGATAGGTTGAACACACGGTGGGTTGAACACACGGCGGGTTGAACACAAGGTCGGTTGAACACACGGTGGGTTGATCACATGGTGGGTGGAACACACGGTGGATTGAACACATGGTGGGTTGAACATACGATAGGTTGAACACACGGTGGGTTCAACACACGGTGGGTTCAACACACGGTGGGTTGAACACACGGTGGGTTGAACACACGATAGGTTGAACACACGGTGGGTTGAACACACGGTGGGTTGAACACACGGTGGGTTGAATACACGGTAGGTTGAACACACGGTGGGTTGAACACACGTTGGGTTGAACTCACGGTAGGTTGAACACACGGTGGGTGGAACACACGGTGGGTTGAACACATGGTGGGTTGAACACACAGTGGGTTGAACACAAGGTGGGTTGAACACACGGTGGGTTGAACACACGGTGGGTTGTACACAAGGTGGGTTGAACACACGGTGGGTTGAACAAACGGTGGGTTGAACACACGGTGGGTTGAACACACGGTGGGTTGAACACATGGTGGGTTCAACACACGGTGCTTTGAACACACGGTGGGTGGAACACACGATTGGTTGAACACATGGTGGGTTGAACACACGGTGGATTGATCACACGGTGGGTGGAACACACGGTGTGTTCAACACACGATGCGTTGAACACATGGTGGGTCGAACACACGGTGGGTTGAACACACAGTGGGTTGAACGCACGGTGGGTTGATCACACGGTGGGTGGAACACACCGTGGGTTGAACATACGGTGGGTTGAACACATGATAGGTTGAACACACTTTGGGTTGAACACACGGTGGGTTGAACACAAGGTGGTTTGAACACACAGTAGGTTGATCACAAGGTGGGTGGAACACACGGTGGGTTGAACACACGGTGGGTTGAACACACGGTCGGTTGAACACACAGTGGGTTGAACACACGGTGGGTTCAACACACGGTGGGTTCAACACACGATGCGTTGAACACACGGTGGGTGGAACACACGGTGGGTTGAACACACAGTGGGTTGAACACACGGTGGGTTGATCACACGGTGGGTGGAACAAACGGTGGGTTGAACACACGGTGGGTTGAACACATGATAGGTTGAACACACTCTGGGTTGAACACACGGTGGGTTGAACACAAGGTGGTTTGAACACACGGTGGGTTGATCACATGGTGGGTGGAACACACGGTGGGTTGAACACACGGTGGGTTGAACACACGATAGGTTGAACACACGGTGGTTTGAACACACGGTGAGTTGAACACATGGTGGGTTGAACACATGGTAGGTTGAACACACGGTGGGTTGAACACACGGTGCGTTGAAAACACGGTGGGTGGAACACACGGTGGGTTGAACACACAGTGGGTTGAAGACACGGTGGGCTGATCACACGGTGGGTGGAACACACGGAGGGTTGAACACACGGTGGGTTGATCACACGGTGGATTCAACACACGGTGCGTTGAACACACGGTGGGTGGAACACATTGTGGGTTGAACACACGGTGGGTTGAACACACGGTGGGTTCAAAAACACGGTGGGTTCAAAACACGGTGCGTTGAACACACAGCGGGTGGAACACACGGTGGGTTGAACACACGGTGGGTTGAACATACGGTGGCCTGATTACACGGTGGGTTGAACACACGGTGGGTTGAACACACGGTGGGTTCAACACACGGTGCTTTGAACACACGGTGGGTGGAACACACGGTGGGTTGAACACATGGTGGGTTGAACACACGGTGGGTTGATCACACGGTGGGTGGAACACACGGTGGGTTGAACACACGATAGGTTGAACACACGGTCGGTTGAACACACAGTGGGTTGAACACACGGTGGGTTCAACACACGGTGGGTTCAACACACGATGCGTTGAACACACGGTGGGTTGAACACACAGTGGGTTGAACACACGGTGGGTTGATCAAACGGTGGGTGGAACACACAGTGGGTTGAACACACGGTGGGTTGATCACACTGTGGGTTCAACACACGGTGGGCTCAAAAACACGGAGGGTTCAACACACGGTGCGTTGAACACACGTTGGGTGGAACACACGGTGGGTTGAACACACGGTGGGTTGAACATACGGTGGGCTGATCACACGGTGGGTTGAACACACGGTGGGTTCGACACACGGTGCGTTGAACACACGGTGGGTGGAACACACGGTGGGTTGAACACAAGGTGGGTTGAGCACACGGTAGGATGAACACACGGTGGGTTCAACACACGGTGGGTTGAACATACGGTGGGTTGAACACACGAAAGGTTGAACACACGGTGGGTTGAACACACGGTGTGTTCAAAACATGGTAGGTTCAACACACGGTGCGTCAAACACACGGTGGGTGGAACACACGGTGGGTTGGACACACAGTGGGTTGAACATACGATGGGCTGATCACACAATGGGTTAATCACACGGTGGGATCAACACACGGTGCGTTGAACACACGTTGGGTGGAACACACGGTGGGTTGAACACAAGGTGGGTTGAACACACGGTGGGTTGAACAAACGGTGGGTTGAACACACGATGCGTTGAACACACGGTGGGTTGAACACACGGTGACTTCAACACACGGTGCGTTGAACACACGGTGGGTTGAACACATGGTGGGTTGAACACACAGTGGGTTGATCACACGGTGGGTGGAACACACAGTGGGTTGAACACACGATAGGTTGAACACACGGTGGGTTGAACATACGGTGGGTTGAACACACGGTGGGTTGAACACACGGTGGGTTCAAGACACGGTGGGTTCAACACACGATGCGTTGAACACACGGTGGGTGGAACACACGGTGGGCTGAAGACACTTTGGGTTGAACACACGGTGGGTTGATCACACGGTGTGTGGAACACACGGTGGGTTGAACACACGGTGGGTTGAACACATGATAGGTTGAACACACGGTGGGTTGAACACACGGTGGGTTGAACACAAGGTGGGTTGAACACACGCTGGGTTGATCACATGGCCATGCACCCTGGCAAAAACGACCATGCATCCTAGCAACAACAACGAACATGCAACCTAGCAAGGCCACAATGTAAACACCCTCCTTGACCATGCATTGCTGGTCTGGACCACCCAAGGGGGTGTTGCTCACAGGGCCACAATGTAGTTGTCAGCGTTGCACGTGACATGCTTCAGCCACTCACATGGAGTGCTCTCATTCCACGTGCCTCCCCCATTGAAGCCACCCCAATCACCTAGAGCTGCAGCCTCACAAGCACCTAGAGCAGCAGCCTCTATACCTGGGTCGAGCGGCACACACAGGTAACAGTCACCCTCAGCACGTCTCTGAGACGCCCAACGCTGAGCAAACCACTCACGAAGCTGCTGGGGCGTAAGGGTTTCACGTGGACGCCGCTGCAGCTGCACCGGGCCACCTCCAGAAACTCCCAACTGAGTAGCTGCACCGCGTCTGCCACTACGGCCACTACGCTGAGACGCCCAACGCTGAGGAAACCACTCATGAAGCTGCTGGGTTGTAAGGGTCTCACGCGGACACCGCTGCAGCTGCATCTGGCCACCTCCAGAAACTCCCCACCGAACAGCTCCACAGCAACTGCTACGACGGCCGCCACCACTCCCACTGCTGCCGCCACCGTCGCCACCACTCCCACCGCTGCCGTGAAGAGAAGTCATGCGACCAGCAAGGCAGCACGTAGGAAAGGAAGGGCGGCGAGGAGGCACTAGGGTAGGTCAGGGCGGTGCACGATCAGGGAAGGGCAGCGCGCGACCAGAGTAGGGCTGTGCGCTGCTAGAGCAGGGCGGCGCGCGGCGAGGAGGGCGGCGTGCGGCCAGAGCAGGGCGGCGTGCAGCAAGGGCTGAGTGCGGCCAGAGCAGGGCGACGCACCGCCAGAGCAGGGCGGCGTGCGGCTAGAGCAGGGCGGCGCGCGGCTAGAGCAGGGCGGCGCGTGGCCAGAGCAAGGCGGCGCGCGGCTAGAGCAGGGCAGCACGCGGCTAGAGCAGGGCGGCGCGCGGCCAATAGCAGGCAGTAGCTCCTAGGGCAGCAGCACCAAGGGCTTTTTTTTTTTGTAAGTTGATTAATTTACTTATATATTTTAGGGTTTAGCAGGGCGCATAGGGCGCTGCAGAGGCGGCTCGGGCAGGGCACGGCAGGGCGCCAGAGCGCGCAGGGCAGGGCGCTGGCGCGTTGGCAGGGCAGGGCGCTGGCGCGGGCAGCAGCGCGCACGGGCAGGGTGGCGCTGGGCAGCGAGTGCAGGCCCGCGGCGGGCGCAAAACGCAGGCACGGTGGGCGAAAAACGCAGGCACGGCGGGCGCAAGGGGCGGGCCCACGGCGGGCGTAGCGGACAGGTGCGGGAGGGGCGAACGGGCGGGCTCGTGACGTGCCGAACGGGTAGGTGTGGCAGTGCGAAGGCAGGGCCCAAGGCAGGCCTAGCGGGCGGGCGCGGCAGCAGGCATAACGGGCAGGTGCGGCGGCGCGAAGGGAGGGCCCGCGGCGGGCCTAACGGGCAGGCGGTAGGGCGTGACACGCAGGGCAGCAGGGCACTACGCGCGGGCTGCAGCAGAGCGCGACGCGCGGGGCAGCAGAGCGCGACGCGCGGGCTGCAGCAGGGCGCGACGCGGAGGGCAGCAGGGCATGGGGCAGGGCAGAGCGTGCGCGAGGCAACGCGACGCGGGGCAGGGCAGGGCGTGCGCAATGCAGCGCGACGCGGGGCAGGGCAGGGCGTGCACGGGGCAGCGCGACGTAGGGCTGGGCGTACACAGGCAATGTGATGCAAGGCAGGGCAGGGCAGGGCGCGCACTGACGGCGCAGCGCAGGGCAGGGCGTGGGGTGATAGAAAGCGGGACAATGGAGCTAGATAATGGAAAGCGAGAGAATGGGGCGGGGTGATGGAAAGCGGGAGAATGGGGCGGGGTGATGGAAAGAGGGAAAATGGCGCGGGGTGATGGAAAGCGGGAGAATGGGGTGGGGTGATGGAAAGAGGGAGAATGGGGCGGGGTGATGGAAAGAGGGAGAATGGGGCGGGGTGATGGAAAGCGGGAGAATGGGGCGGGGTGATGGAAAGAGGGAGAATGAGGCGGGGTGATGGAAAGAGGGAGAATAAGGTGGGGTGATGGAAGGCGGGAGAGTGGGGCGGGGTGATGGAAAGAGGGAGAATGGGGCGGGGTGATGGAAAGAGGGAGAATGGGGCGGGGCGATGGAAATTGGGAGAATGGGGCGGGGTGATGGAAATCGGGAGAATGGGGCGGGGTGATGGAAAGAGGAAGAATGGGGCGGGGTGATGGAAAGAGGGAGAATGGGGCGGGGTGATGGAAAGCGGGAGAATGGGGCGGGATGATGGAAAGCGGGAGAATGGGGCGGGGTGATGGAAATCGGGAGAATGGGGCGTGGTGATGGAAGGCGGGAGAATGGGGCGGGGTGATGGAAAGCGGGAGAATGGGGCGGGGTGATGGAAAGCGGGAGAATGGGGCGGGGTGATGGAAAGCGGGAGAATGGGGAGGGGTGATGGAAAGTTGGAGAATTGGGTGGGGTGATGGAAAGCGGGAGAATGGAGCGGGGTGATGGAAAGCGGGAGAATGGGGCGGGGTGATGGAAAGCGGGAGAATGGGGCGGGGTGATGGAAAAAGGGAAAATATTGCGGGGTGATGGAAAGCGGGAGAATGGGGTGGTGTGATGGAAAGCGGGAGAATGGGGCGGGGAGATGGAAAGAGGGAGAATGGGGCGGGGTGATGGAAAGCGGGAGAATGGGGCGGGGTGATGGAAAGAGGGAGAATGGGGCGGGGTGATGGAAAGCGGGAGAATGGGGCGGGGTGATGCAAATCGGGAGAATGGGGTGGGGTGATGGAAAGCAGGAGAACGGGGCGGGGTGATGGAAAGTGGGAGAATGGGGCGGGGTGATGGAAGGCGGGAGAATGGGGCGGGGTGATGGAAAGCGGGAGAATTGGGCCGGGTGATAGAAAGCGGGAGAATGGGGCGGGGTGATGGAAATCGAGATAATTGGGCGAAGTGATGGAAAGCGGGAGAATGGGGCGGGGTGATAGAAAGCGGGAGAATGGGGCGGGGTGGTGGAAAGCGGGAGAATGGGGCGGGGTGGTGGAAAGCGGGAGAATGGGGCGGAGTGATGGAATGCGGGAGAATGGGGCGGGGTGATGAAAAGAGGAAGAATGGGGCGGGGTGATGGAAAGCAGGAGAATGGGGCGGGGTGATGGAAAGAGGGAGAATGGGGCGGGGTGATGGAAAGCGGGAGAATGGCGAGGGGTGGTGGAAAGCGGGAGAATGGGGCGGGGTGATGGAAAGCAGGAGAATGGGGCGGGTGATGGAAAGCGGAGAATGGGACGGGGTGATGGAAAGCGGGAGAATTGGGCGGGGTGATGGATAGAGGGAGAATGGGGCGGGGTGATGGAAAGAGGGAGAATGGGGCGGGGTGATGGAAAGAGGGAGAATGGGCAGGGTGATGGAAAGCGGGAGAATGGGGCGGGGTGATGGAAAGTGGGAGAATGGGGCGGGGTGATGGACAGCGGGAGAATGGGGAGGGGTGATGGAAAGAGGGAGAATGGGGCGAGGTGATGGAAAGAGGGAGAATAAGGCGGGGTGATGGAGAGCGGGAGAATGGGGCGGGGTGATGGAGAGCGGGAGAATGGGGCGGGGTGATGGAAAGCGGGAGAATGGCGCGGGGTGATGGAAAGCGGGAGAATGGGGCGGGGTGATGAAAGGAGGAGAATGGGGAGGGGTGATGAAAAGCGGGAGAATGGAGCGGGGTGATGGAAAGCGGGAGAATGGGGCGGGGTGATGGAAAGCGGGAGAATGGGGCGGGGTGATGGAAAGAGAGAAAATAGGGCGAGGTGATGGAAAGCGGGAGAATGGGGTGGTGTGATGGACAGCGGGAGAATGGGGCGGGGTGATGGAAAGAGGGAGAATGGGGCGGGGTGATGGAAAGCGGGAGAAAGGAGCGGGGTGATGGAGAGAGGGAGAATGGGGCGGGGTGATGGAAGGCGGGAGAATGGGGCGGGATGATGCAAGTCGGGAGAATGGGGTGGGGTGATGGAAAGCGGGAGAATGGGGCGGGGTGATGGAAAGCGGGAGAATGGGGCGGGGTGATGGAAGGCGGGAGAATGGGGCGGGGTGATGGAAAGAGGGAGAATGGGGCGGGGTGATGGAAAGCGGGAGAATGGGGCGGGTGATGGAAAGCGGGAGAATGGGGCGGGGTGATGGAATGAGGGAGAATGGGGCGGGGTGATGGAAAGCGATTGAATGGGGCTGGGTGATGGAAAGAGGGAGAATGGGCCGGGGTGATGGAAAGCGGGAGAATGGGGCAGTTTGATGGAAAGAGGGAGAATGGGGAGGGGTGATGGAAAGAGGGAGAATTGGCGGGGTGATCGAAATCGGGAGAATGGAGCGGGGTGATGGAAAGCGGGCGGGGTGATGGAAAGCGGGAGAATGGGGCGGGGTGATGGAAAGAGGGAGAATGGGGCGGGGTGATGGAAAGCGGGAGAATGGGGCGGGGTGATGGAAAGAGGGAGAATGGAGAGGGGTGATAGAAAGAGGGAGAATTGGGCGGGGTGATGGAAAGTGGGAGAATGGAGCGGGGTGATGGAAAGCGGGAGAATGGGGCGGGGTGATAGAAAGCGGGAGAATGGGGCGGGGTGATGGAAAGAGGGAAAATGGGGCGTGGTGATGGAAAGCGGGAGAATTGGGTGGGGTGATGGAAAGCGGGAGAATGGAGCGGGGTGGTGGAAAGCGGGAGAATGGGGCGGGGTGATGGAAAGAGGGAGAACGAGGAGGGGTGATGGAAAGAGGGAGAATTGGGCGGGGTGATGGAAAGCGGGAGTATGGAGCGGGTTGATGGAAAGAGGGAGAATGGAACGGGGTGATGGAAAGCGGGAGAATGGGGCGGGGTGATGGAAAGAGGGAGAATGGGGCGGGGTGATGGAAAGCGGGAGAATGGGGCGGGGTGATGGAAAGAGGGAGAATGGGGCGGGGTGATGGAAAGCGATTGAATGGGGCTGGGTGATGGAAAGAGGGAGAATGGGCCGGGGTGATGGAAAGCGGGAGAATGGGGCAGTTTGATGGAAAGAGGGAGAATGGGGAGGGGTGATGGAAAGAGGGAGAATTGGCGGGGTGATCGAAATCGGGAGAATGGAGCGGGGTGATGGAAAGCGGGCGGGGTGATGGAAAGCGGGAGAATGGGGCGGGGTGATGGAAAGAGGGAGAATGGGGCGGGGTGATGGAAAGCGGGAGAATGGGGCGGGGTGATGGAAAGAGGGAGAATGGAGAGGGGTGATAGAAAGAGGGAGAATTGGGCGGGGTGATGGAAAGTGGGAGAATGGAGCGGGGTGATGGAAAGCGGGAGAATGGGGCGGGGTGATAGAAAGCGGGAGAATGGGGCGGGGTGATGGAAAGAGGGAAAATGGGGCGTGGTGATGGAAAGCGGGAGAATTGGGTGGGGTGATGGAAAGCGGGAGAATGGAGCGGGGTGGTGGAAAGCGGGAGAATGGGGCGGGGTGATGGAAAGAGGGAGAACGAGGAGGGGTGATGGAAAGAGGGAGAATTGGGCGGGGTGATGGAAAGCGGGAGTATGGAGCGGGTTGATGGAAAGAGGAAGAATGGAACGGGGTGATGGAAAGCGGGAGAATGGGGCGGGGTGATGGAAAGAGGGAGAATGGGGCGGGGTGATGGAAAGCGGGAGAATGGGGCGGGGTGATGGAAAGAGGGAGAATGGGGCGGGGTGGTGCAAAGAGGGAGAATGGGGCGTGGTGATGGAAAGCGGGAGAATGGGGCAGGGTGATGGAAAGAGGGAGAATGGGGGTGGGTGATGGAAAGAGGGAGAATTGGGCGGGGTGATGGAAAGCGGGAGAATGGGGCGGGGTGATGGAAAGCGGGAGAATGGGGCTGGGTGATGGAAAGCGGGAGAATGGGGCGGGGTGATAGAAAGCGGGAGAATGGGGCGGGGTGATGGAAAGCGGGAGAATGGGGCGGGGTGATGGAAAGCGGGAGAATGGGGCGGGGTGATGGAAATCGGGAAAATGGGGCGGGGTGATGGAAAGCGGGAGAATGGGGCAAGGTGATAGAAAGAGGGAGAATGGGGCGGGGTGATGGAAGGCGGGAGAATGGGGCGGGGTGATGGAAAGGGGGAGAATTGGGCAGGGTGATGGAAAGATGGAGAATGGGGCGGGGTGATGGAAGGCGGGAGAATGGGGCGGGGTGATGGAAAGAGGGAGAATGGGGCGGGGTGATACAAAGCAGGAGAATGGGGCGGGGTGATCGAAAGAGGGAGAATGGAGTGGGGTGATGGAAAGAGTGAGAATGGGGTGGGGTGATGGAAAGCGGGAGAATGGGGCAGGGTGTTGGAAAGCGGGAGAATGGGGCAGGGTGATGGAAATCGGGAGAATGGGGCGGGCTGATGGAAAGCGGAGAATGGGGCGGGGTGATGGAAATCGGGAGAATGGGGCGGGGTGATGGAACGCACGAGAATAAGGCGGGGTGATGGAAAGCGAGAGAATGGGGCGGGGTGATGGAAAACGGGAGAATGGGATGGGGTGATGGAAAGTGGGAGTATTGGGCGGGGTGATGGATAGAGGGAGAATGGGGCGGGGTGATGGAAAGCGGGAGAATGGGGCGGGGTGATGGAAAGAGGGAGAATGGGGTGGGGTGATGGAAAGCGTGAGAATGGGGCGGGGTGATGGAAAGAGGGAGAATGGGGCGGGGTGATGGAAGGCGGAGAATGGGGCGGGGTGATGGAAAGGGGGAGAATTGGGCGGGGTGATGGAAAGCGGGAGAATGGGGCGGGGTGATGGAAAGTGGGAGAATGGGGCGGGGTGATGGAAATCGGGAAAATGGGGCGGGTGATGGAAAGCGGGAGAATGGGGCGGGGTGATGGAAAGAGGGAGAATGGGGCGGGGTGATGGAAAGAGGGATAATTGGGCGGGCTCATGGAAAGCGGGAGAATGGAGCGAGGTGATGGAAACCGGGAGAATGGGGCGGGGTGGTGGAAACCGGGAGAGTGGGGCGGGATGATGGAAAGCGGGAGAATGGGGCGGGTAATGGGAAGAGGGAGAATGGGGCGGGGTGATGGAAAGCGGGAGAATGGGGCAGGGTGATGGAAAGCGGGAGAATGGGGTCGGGTGATAGAAAGAGAGAGAATGGGGCGGGGTGATGGAAATCGAGAGAATTGGGCGAAGTGATGGAAAGCGGGAGAATGGGGCGGGGTGATGGAAAGCGGGAGAATGGCGCGGGGTGGTGGAAAGCGGGAGATTTGGGCGGGGTGGTGGAAAGCGGGAGAATGGGGCGGGGTGATGGAAAGAGGGAGAATGGGGCAGGGTGATGGAAAGCTGGAGAATGGGGCGGGGTGATGGAAAGAGGAAGAATGGGGCAGGGTGATGGAAATTGGGAGAATGGGGCGGGGTGATGGAAAGCGGGAGAATGGGGCAGGGTGTTGGAAAGCAGGAGAATGGGGCGGGGTGATGGAAATCGGGAGAATGGGGCGGGGTGATGGAAAGCGGGAGAATAAGGCGGGGTGATGGAAAGCGAGAGAATGGGGCGGGGTGATGGAAAACGGGAGAATGGGATGGGGTGATGGAAAGTAGGAGAATTGGGCGGGGTGATGGATAGAGGGAGAATGGGGCGGGTTAATGGAAAGCGGGAGAATGGGGCGGGGTGATGGAAAGAGGGAGAATGGGATGGGTTGATGGAAAGCGTGAGAATGGGGCGGGGTGATGGAAAGAGGGAGAATGGGGCGGGGTGATGGAAGGCGGGAGAATGGGGCGGGGTGATGGAAAGCGGGAGAATTGGGCGGGGTGATGGAAAGCGGGAGAATGGGGCGGGGTGATGGAAAGTGGGAGAATGGGGCGGGGTGATGGAAATCGGGAAAATGGGGTGGGTGATGGAAAGCGGGAGAATGGGGCGGGGTGATGGAAAGAGGGAGAATGGGGCGGGGTGATGGAAAGAGGGAGAATTGGGCGGGGTGATGGTAAGCGGGAGAATGGAGCGGGATGATGGAAACCGGGAGAATGGGGCGGAGTGATGGAAAGCGGGAGAGGGGCGGGGTGATGGAAATCAGGAAAATGGGGCGGGGTGGTGGAAAGCGGGAGAATGGGGCGGGATGATGGAAAGCGGGAGAATGGGGCGGGTAATTGGAAGAGGGAGAATGGGGCGGGGTGATGGAAAGCGGGAGAATGGGGCAGGGTGATGGAAAGCGGGAGAATGGGGCCGGGTGATAGAAAGAGGGAGAATAAGGCGGGGTGATGGAAATCGAGAGAGTTGGGCGAAGTGATGGAAAGCGGGAGAATGGGGCGGGGTGATGGAAAGCGGGAGAATGGGGCGGGGTGGTGGAAAGCGGGAGAATGGGTCGGGGTGGTGAAAAGCGGGAGATTGGGGCGGGGTGGTGGAAAGCGGGAGATTGGGGCGGGGTGATGGAAAGAGGGAGAATGGGGCGGGGTGATGGAAAGCAGGAGAATGGGGCGGGGTGATGGAAAGAGGGAGAATGGGGCGGGGTGATGGAAAGCGGGAGAATGGGGCGGGGTGATGGAAAGCGGGAGAATGGGGCAGGGTGTTGGAAAGCAGGAGAATGGGGCGGGGTGATGGAAATCGGGAGAATGGGGCGGGGTGATGGAAAGCGGGAGTATAAGGCGGGGTGATGGAAAGCGAGAGAATGGGGCGGGGTGATGGAAAACGGGAGAATGGGATGGGGTGATGGAAAGTGGGAAAATTGGGCGGGGTGATGGATAGAGGGAGAATGGGGCGGGTTAATGGAGAGCAGGAGAATGGGGCGGGGTGATGGAGAGAGGGAGAATGGGGTGGGGTGATGGAAAGCGTGAGAATGGGGCCGGGTGATGGAAAGAGGGAGAATGGGGCGGGGTGATGGAAGGCGGGAGAATGGGGCGGGGTGATGGAAAGCGGGAGAATTGGGCGGGGTGATGGAAAGCGGGAGAATGGGGCGGGGTGATGGAAAGCGGGAGAATGGGGCGGGGTGATGGAAATCGGGAAAATGGGGCGGGTGATGGAAAGCGGGAGAATGGGGCGGGGTGATGGAAAGAGGGAGAATGGGGCGGGGTGATGGAAAGAGGGATAATTGGGCGGGGTGATGGAAAGCCGGAGAATGGAGCGGGGTGATGGAAATCGGGAGAATGGGGCGGAGTGATGGAAAGCGGGAGTGGGGCGGGGTGATGGAAATCGGGAGAATGGGGCGGGGTGGTGGAAAGCGGGAGAATGGGGCGGGATGATGGAAAGCGGGAGAATGGGGCGGGTAATGGGAAGAGGGAGAATGGGGCGGGGTGATGGAAAGTGGGAGAATGGGGCGGGGTGATGGAAAGCGGGAGAATGGGGCCGGGTGATAGAAAGCGGGAGAATGGGGCGGGGTTATGGAAATCGAGAGAATTGGGCGAAGTGATGGAAAGCGGGAGAATGGGGCGGGGAGATGGAAAGCGGGAGAATGGGGCGGGGTGGTGGAAAGCGGGAGAATGGGGCGGGGTGGTGGAAAGCGGGAGAATGGGGCGGAGTGATGGAAAGCGGGAGAATGGGGCGGGGTGATCGAAAGAGGGAGAATGGGGCAGGGTGATGGAAAGAGGGAGAATGGGGCGGGGTGATGGAAAGAGGGAGAATGGGGCGGGGTGATGGAAAGCGGGAGAATGGCGCGGGGTGGTGGAAAACGGGAGAATGGGGCGGGGTGATGGAAAGCGGGAGAATGGGGCGGGGTGATGGAAAGAGAGAAAATAGGGCGAGGTGATGGAAAGCGGGAGAATGGGGTGGTGTGATGGAAAGCGGGAGAATGGGGCGGGGTGATGGAAAGAGGGAGAATGGGGCGGGGTGATGGAAAGTGGGAGAATGGGGCGGGGTGATGGAAAGAGGGAGAATGGGGCGGGGTGATGGAAAGCGGGAGAATGGGGCGGGGTGATGGAAAGAGGGAGAATGGGGCGGGGTGAAAGAAAGCAAGAGAATGGGGCGGGGTGATGGAAAGAGGGAGAATGGGCCGGGGTGATGGAAAGCGGGAAAATGGGGCCGTTTGATGGAAAGAGGGAGAATGGGGCGGGGTGATGGAAAGAGGGAGAATTGGGCGGGGTGATGGAAATCGGGAGAACGGAGCGGGGTGATGGAAAGCGGGAGAATGGGGCGGGGTGATGGAAAGAGGGAGAATGGGGCGGGGTGATGGAAGGTGGGAGAATGGGGCGGGGTGATGCAAATCGAGAGAATGGGGTGGGGTGATGGAAAGCGGGAGAATGGAGTGGGGTGATGGAAAGCGGGAGAATGGGGCGGGGTGATGGAAGGCGGGAGAATAGGGCGGGTCGATGGATAGAGGGAGAATGGGGCGGGATGATGGAAAGCGGGAGAATGGGGCGGGTGATGGAAAGCGGGAGAATGGGGCGGGGTGATGGAAAGAGGGAGAATGGGGCGGGGTGATGGAAAACGGGAGAATGGGGCGGCGTGATGGAAAGAGGGAGAATGGGGCGGGGTGGTGGAAAGAGGGAGAATGGGGCGTGGTGATGGAAAGCGGGAGAATGGGGCGGGGTGATGGAAAGAGGGAGAATGGGGAGGGGTGATGGAAAGAGGGAGAATTGGGCGGGGTGATGGAAAGCGGGAGATTGGAGCGGGGTGATGGAACGAGGGAAAATGGGGCGGGGTGAAGGAATGCGGGAGAATTGGGCGGGGTGATGGAAAGAGGGAGAATGGGGCGGGGTGATGGAAAGCGGGAGAATGGGGCGGGGTGATGGAAAGCGGGAGAATGGGGCTGGGTGATGGAAAGCGGGAGAATGGGGCGGGGTGATGGAAAGAGGGAGAATGGGGCGGGGTGATGGAAAGCGGGAGAATGGGGCGGGGTGATGGAAATCGGGAAAATGGGGCGGGGTGATGGAAAGCGGGAGAAAGGGGCGGGGTGATGGAAAGAGGGAGAATGGGGCGGGGTGATGGAAGGCGGGAGAATGGGGCGGGGTGATGGAAAGGGGGAGAATTGGGTGATGGAAAGATGGCGAATGGGGCGGGTTGATGGAAGGCGGGAGAATGGGTCGGGGTGATGGAAAGAGGGAGAATGGGGCCGGGAGATAGAAAGCAGGAGAATGGGGCGGGTTGATGGAAAGAGGGAGAATGGGAGGGGTGATGCAAAGAGTGAGAATGGGGTGGGGTGATGTAAAGCGGGAGAATGGGGCAGGGTGTTGGAAAGCGGGAGAATGGGGCGGGGTGATGGAAATCGGGAGAATGGGGCGGGGTGATGGAAAGCGGAGAATGGGACGGGGTGATGGAAATCGGGAGAATGGGGCGGGGTGATGGAAAGCGGGAGAATGGGGCGGGGTGATGGAAGGCGGGAGAATGGGGCGCGGTGATGGAAAACGGGAGAATGGGGCGGGGTGATGGAAAGAGGGAGAATGGGGCGGGGTGGTGGGAAACGGGAGAATGGGATGGGGTGATGGAAAGTGGGAGAATTGTGCGGGGTGATGGATAGAGGGAGAATGGGGCGGGGTGATGGAAAGCGGGAGAATGGGGCGGGGTGATGGAAAGAGGGAGAATGGGGTGGGGTGATGGAAAGCGGGAGAATGGGGCGGGGTGATGGAAAGAGGGAGAATGGGGCGGGGTGGTGGAAAGAGGGAGAATGGGGCGTGGTGATGGAAAGCGGGAGAATGGGGCGGGGTGATGGAAAGAGGGAGAATAGGGAGGGGTGGTGGAAAGAGGGAGAATTGGGCGGGGTGATGGAAAGCGGGAGAATGGAGCGGGGTGATGGAACGAGGGAAAATGGGGCGGGGTGAAGGAATGCGGGAGAATGGGGTGGGGTGATGGAAAGAGGGAGAATGGGGCGGGGTGATGGAAAGCGGGAGAATGGGGCGGGGTGATGGAAAGCGGGAGAATGGGGCTGGGTGATGGAAAGTGGGAGAATGGGGCAGGGTGATGGAAAGCGGGAGAATGGGGCGGGGTGATGGAAAGCGGGAGAATGGGGCGGGGTGATGGAAATCGGGAAAATGGGGCGGGGTGATGGAAAGCGGGAGAATGGGGCGGGGTGATGGAAAGAGGGAGAATGGGGCGGGGTGATGGAAGGCGGGAGAATGGGGCGGGGTGATGGAAGGCGGGAGAATGGGGCGGGGTGATGGCAATCGGGAGAATGGGGCGGGGTGATGGAAAGCGGGAGAATAAGGCGGGGTGACGGAAAGCGAGAGAATGGGGCGGGGTGATGGAAAACGGGAGAATGGGATGGGGTGATGGAAAGTGGGAGAATTGGGCGAGGTGATGGATAGAGGAAGAATGGGGCGGGGTGATGGAACGCGGGAGAATGGGGCGGGGTGATGGAAAGAGGGAGAATGGGGTGGGGTGATGGAAAGCGTGAGAATGGGGCGGGGTGATGGAAAGAGGGAGAATGGGGCGGGGTGATGGAAGGCGGGAGAATTGGGCGGGGTGATGGAAAGCGGGAGAATTGGGCGGGGTGATGGAAAGCGGGAGAATGGGGCGGGGTGATGGAAAGCGGGAGAATGGAGCGGGGTGATGGAAGGAGGGAAAATGGGGCGGGGTGATGGAAAGAGGGAGAATGGAGAGGGGTGATAGAAAGAGGGAGAATTGGGCGGGGAGATGGAAAGCGGGAGAATGGAGCGGGGTGATGGAAAGCGGGAGAATGGGGCGGGGTGATGGAAAGCGGGAGAATGGAGCGGGGTGATGGAAGGAGGGAAAATGGGGCGGGGTGATGGAAAGCGAGAGAATGGGGCGGGGTGATGGAAAGAGGGAGAATGGGGCGGGGTGATGGAAAGCGGGAGAATGGGGCGGGGTGATGGAAAGAGGGAGAATGGAGCGGGGTGATGGAAGGCGGGAGAATGGGGCGCGGTGATGGAAAGCGGGAGAATTGGCCAGGGTGATGGAAGGAAGGAGAATGGGGCGGGGTGATGGAAGGTGGAAGAATGGGGCGGGGTGATGGAAAGAGGGAGAATGGGGCGGGGTGATAGAAAGCATGAGAATGGGGCGGGGTGATGGGAAGAGGGAGAATGGGGAGGGGTGATGGAGATAGTGAGAATGGGGCGGGGTGATGGAAAGCGGGAGAATGGTGCGAGGTGATGGAAAGCGGGAGAATAAGGCGGGGTGATAGAAAGCGAGAGAATGGGGCGGGGTGATGGAAAACAGGAGAATGGGACGGTGTGATGGAAAGTGGGAGAATTGGGCGGGGTGATGGATAGAGGGAGAATGGGGCGGGGTGATGGAAAGCGGGAGAATGGGGCGGGGTGATGGAAATCGGGAGAATGGGGTGGGGTGATGGAAAGAGGGAGAATTGGGCGGGGTGATGGAAAGCGGGAGAATGGAGCGGGGTGATGGAAAGCGGGAGAATGGGGCGGGGTGATGGAAAGCGGGAGAATGGGGCGGGGTGATGGAAAGAGAGAAAATGGGGCGGGGTGATGGAAAGCCAGAGAATGGGGCGGGGTGATGGAAAGAGGGAGAATGGGGCTGGAGAATAGGGCGGGGTGATGGAAAGCGGGAGAATGGGGCGGGGTGATGGAAAGAGGGAGAATGGGGCGGGGTGATGGAAGGCGGGAGAATGGGGCGCGGTGATGGAAAGCGGGAGAATTGGCCAGGGTGATGGAAGGAAGGAGAATGGGGCGGGGTGATGGAAGGCGGGAGAATGGGGCGGGATGATGGAAAGAGGGAGAATGGGGAGGGGTGATGGAGATAGTGAGAATGGGGCGGGGTGATGGAAAGCGAGAGAATGGTGCGGGGTGATGGAAAGCGGGAGAATAAGGAGGGGTGATAGAAAGCGAGAGAATGGGGCAGGGTGATGGAAAACAGGAGAATGGGACGGGGTGATGGAAAGTGGGAGATTTGGGCGGGGTGATGGATAGAGGGAGAATGGGGCGGGGTGATGGAAAGGGGAGAATGGGGCGGGGTGCTGGAAATCGGGAGAATGGAGCGGGGTGATGGAAAGAGGGAGAATAAGGCGGGGTGATGGAAAGAGGGGGAATGGGGCGGGTTGATGGAAAGAGGGAGAATGGGGCCGGGTGATGAAAGGCGGGACAATGGGGCTGGGTGATGGAAAGCGGGAGAATTGGGCGGGGTGATGGAAAGAGGGAGAATGGGGCGGGGTGATGAAAGACGGGAGAATGGGGCGGGGTAATGGAAAGCGGGAGAATGGGGCGGGGTGATGGAAAGAGGGAGAATGGAGAGGGGTGATGGAAAGAGGGAGAATTGGGCGGGGTGATGGAAAGCGGGAGAATGGAGCGGGCGGGGTGATGGAAAGCGAGAGAATGGAGCGGGGTGATGGAAATAGGGAGAATGGGGCGGGTTGATGGAAAGAGGGAGAATGAGGCGGGGTGATGGAAAGCGGGAGAACGGGGCGGGGTGATGGAAAGCGGGAGAATGGGGCGGGGTGATGGAAAGCGGGAGAATGGGGCGGGGTGATGGAAAGAGGGAGAATGGGGCTGTGTGATGGAAAGCGGGAGAACGGGGCGGGGTGATGGAAAGTGGTAGAATGGGTCGGGGTGATGGAAAGCGGGAGAATGGGCTGGGGTGATGGAAATTGGGAGAATGGGGCGGGGTGATAAAAAGCTGGAGAATGGGGCGGGGTGATGGAAAGAAGGAGAATGGGGCGGGGTGATGGAAAGCGGGAGAATGGGGCGGGGTGATGGAAAGAGGGAGAATAGGGAGGGGTGATGGAAAGCGAGAGAATGGGGCGAGGTGATGGAAACAGGAAGAATGGGGCGGGGTGATGGAAAGAGGGAGAATGGGGCGAGGTGATGGAAACAGGGAGAATGGGGTGGGGTGACAGAAAGAGGGAGAATGGGACGGGTTGATGGAAAGAAGGAGAATGGGGCGGGGTGATGGAAAGAGGGAGAATGGAGAGGGGTGATGGAAAGCGGGAGAATTGGGCGCGGTGATGGAAAGCAGGAGAATGGGGCGGGGTAATGGAAAGCGGGAGAATGGGGCGGGGTGATGGAAAGAGGGAGAATGGGGCGGGGTGATGGAAAGCAGGAGAATGGGGCAAGGTGATGGAAAGAGGGAGAATGGAAAGGGGTGATAGAAAGAGGGAGAAATGGGCAGGGTGATGGAAAGCGGGACAATGGAGCCGGGTGATGGAAAGCGGGAGAATGGGGCGGGTGATGGAAAGAGGTTAAATGGCGCGGGGTGAAGGAAAGCGGGAGAATTGGGCGGGGTGATGGAAAGAGGGAGAATGGGGCGGGGTGATGGAAAGAGGGAGAATGGGGCAGGGTGATGGAAAGAGGGAGAATGGGGCGGGGTGATGGAAGATGAGAGAATGGGGTGGGGTGATGGAAGGCAGGAGAATTGGGCAGGGTGATGGAAAAATGGAGAATGGGGCGGGGTGATGGAAGGCGGGAGAGTGGGGCGGGGTGATGTAAAGATGGAGAATGGGGCGGGGTGATGGAAAGTGGGAGAATGGGGCGGGGTGATGGAAAGCGGGAGAATGGGGCGGGATGATGGAAAGAGGGAGAATGGGGCGGGGAGATGGAAAGAGGAAGAATGGGGCGGGGTGATGGAAAGAGGGAGAATGCGACGGGGTGATTGAAAGCGGGAGAATGGGGCGGGGTGATGGAAAGAGGGAGAATTGGGCGAGGTGATGGAAAGCGGGAGAATGGAGCGGGCGGGGTGATGGAAAGCGGGAGAATGGGGCGGGGTGATGGAAAGCGGGAGAATGGGGCGGGGTGATGGAAAGCGGGAGAATGGGCCGGGGTGATGGAAAGCGGCAAAATGGGCCGGGGTGATGGAAAACGGGAGAATGGGGCGGGGTGATGGAAAGCGGGAGAATGGGGTGGGGTGATGGAAAGCGGGAGAATGGGGCGGGGTGATGGAAAGCGGGAGAATGGGGCGGGGTGATGGAAAGCGGGAGAATGGGGCAGTTTGATGGAAAGAGGGAGAAAGGGGCGGGGTGATGGAAGGCGGGAGAATGGGGCGGGGTGATGGGAAGCGGGAGAATTGGGCGGGGTGATGGAAAGCGGGAGAATGGGGCGGGGTGATGGAAAGAGGGAGAATGGGGCGGGGTGATGGAAGGCGCGAGAATGGGGCGGGGTGATGGAAAGAGGGAAAATGGGGCGGGGTGATGGAAAGCGGGAGAATGGGGCGGGGTGATGGAAAGCGGGAGAATGGGGCGAGGGTGAGTGAAAGAGGGAAAATGGGGCGGGGTGATGGAAAGCGGGAGAATGGGGCGGGGTGATGGAAAGAGGGAAAATGGGGTGGGGTGATGGAAAGTGGGAGAATGGGGCGGGGTGATGGATAGACGCAGAATGGGGCGGGGTGATGGAAAGCGGGAGAATGGGGCGTGGTCATGGAAAGCGGGAGAATGGGGCGGGGTGATGGAAAGCAGGAGAATGGGGCGGGGTGATGGAAAGCGGGAGAATGGGGCGAGGTGATGGAAAGCGGGAGAATGGGGCGGGGTGATGGAAATCGGGAGAATGGGGCGGGTGATGGAAAGCGGGAGAATGGGGCGGGGTGATGGAAAGAGGGAGAATGGGGCGGGGTGATAGGAAGCAGGAGAATGGGGCGGGGTGATGGAAAGAGGGAGAATGGGGAGGGGTGATGGAAAGAGTGAGAATGGGGCGGGGTGATGGAAAGTGGGAGAATGAGGCGGGGTGTTGGAAAGCGGGAGAATGGGGCGGGGTGATGGAAAGCGGGAGAATGGGGCGGGGTCATGGAAAGCGGGAGAATGGGGCGGGGTGATGGAAATAGAGACAATGGGGCGGGGTGATGGAAAGCGGGAGAAAAAGGCGGGGTGATGGAAAGTGAGAGAATGGGGCAGGGTGATGGAAAACGGGAGAATGGGACGGGGTGGTGGAAAGTGGGAGAATTGGGCGGGGTGATGGATAGAGGGAGAATGGGCGGGGTGATGGAAAGCGGGATAATGGGGCGAGGTGATGGAAGGCGGGAGAATGGGGCGGGGTGATGGAAAGCGGGAGAATTGGGTAGGGTGATGGAAAAATGGAGAATGGGATGGGGTGATTGAAGGCGGGAGAATGGGGCGGGGTGATGGAAAGAGGGAGAATGGGGAGGGGTGATGGAAAGAGTGAGAATGGGGCGGGGTGATGGAAAGCGGGAGAATGAGGCGGGGTGTTGGAAAGCGGGAGAATGGACAATTTTCTCTACACATGTGCGCTAGTTACCTTTCGAACCCTTACGTTCACTAGATGAATATGCTTCCTACTTTCTATTTGAGTGGCACCACTTGATTGCGTGTACTATGCGAGATCTAAGCGCTTCCGTTCTCCCTGGCATTTGCATTTTAAGTTCCGATACTGACCGACCTGGCCAATGCACCATTTTCTCTATACATGTGCGTTGAATACATTTCAAACCTTTTTAGCTGACTAGATTTATATATTTCCCACCTTCTTATCGAGTGAGACCGTTAGATTCCCTCTACTTTTTGAGAAACGAGCGTTTCCGTTCTCCCTGGCCCCACCTGCACTATGAGTGCGAAATGCCGGCCAGACTGGCCGATGCACCATTTTTTCTACACATGTGCATTAGTTACCTTTCAAACCCTTACGTTCACTAGATGAATATATTTCGTACCTTATATTTGAGTGAGACCACTAGATTCCGTGTACTATGCGAGATCTGAGCGGTTCCGTTCTCCTTGGCATTTGCACTCTAAGTTCCCATACTGACCGACCTGGCCAATGCACCACTTTCCATATACATATGCATTAGATTCCCTCCGAACCTTATTAGCTCGCTAGATTTATATATTTCCCACCTTCTGATCGAGTGAGACCGCTAGATTCCCTTTACTTTTTGAGAAATGAGCGTTTCCGTTCTCCTCGACCCTACTTGCACTATAAGTGCGAAATGCCGGCCAGATTGGCCGATGCACCATTTTCTCTACACATGTGCATTAGTTACCTTTCAAACCCTTACGTTCACTAGATGAATTTATTTCCTACCTCCTATTTGAGAGAGACCACTATATTCCGTGTACTATGCGAGATCTGAGCGCTTCCGTTCTCCCTGGCATTTGCACTCTAAGTTCCCATACTGACCGACCTGGCCAATGCACCATTTTCCATATACATATGCATTAGATTCCTTTCGAACCTTATTAGCTCACTAGATTTATATATTTCCCACCCTCTGATCGAGTGAGACTGCTAGATTCCCTCTACTTTTTGAGAAATGAGCGTTTCGTTCTCCTTGGCCCTAGTTGCACTGTAAGTGCGAAATGCCGGCGAGACAAGCCGATGCACAATTTTCTCTACACATGTGCGTTAGTTACCTTTCAAACCCTTACGTTCACTAGATGAATATATTTCCTACCTTCTATTTGAGTGAGACCACTTGATTCCGTCTACTATGCGAGATCTGAGCGCTTCCATTCTCTCTGGAATTTACATTTTAAGTTCCGATACTGACCGACCTGGCCAATGCACCATTTTCTCTATACATGTGCGTTGAATACATTTCAAACCTTTTTAGCTGACTAGATTTATATATTTCCCGCCTTCTGATCAAGTGAGACCAATAGTTCCCTCTAGTTTTTGAGAAACGAGCGTTTCCGTTCTCCCTGGCCCCACCTCCACTATGAGTGCGAAATGCCGGCCAGACTGGCCGATGCACCATTTTCTCTACACATGTGCGTTAGTTACCTTCCAAACCCTTAGGTTCACTAGATGAATATATTTCCTACCTTATATTTGAGTGAGACCACTAGATTCCGTGTACTATGCGAGATCTGAGCGCTTCCGTTCTCCCAGGCATTTGCACTCTACGTTCCCATACTGACCGACCTGGCCAATGCACCACTTTCCATATACATATGCATTAGATTCCTTCCGAACCTCATTAGCTCACTAGATTTATATATTTCCCACCTTCTGATCGAGTGAGACCGCTAGATTCCCTTTACTTTTTGAGAAATGAGCGTTTCCGTTCTCCTTGGCCCTACTTGCACTATAAGTGCGAAATGCCGGCCCGACTGGCCGATGCACCATTTTCTCTACACATGTGCGTTAGTTACCTTTCAAACCCTTACGTTCACTAGATAAATATATTTCCTTCTTTCTTTTCGAGTGAGACCACTAGATTCCGTGTACTATGCGAGATCTGAGCGCTTCCGTTCTCCCTGGCATTTGCACTCTATGTTCCCATACTGACCGACCTGGCCAATGCACCATTTTCCATATACATATGCATTAGATTCCTTTCGAACCTTATTAGCTCACTAGATTTATATATTTCCCACCTTCTGACCGAGTGAGACCGCTAGATTCCCTCTACTTTTTGAGAAATGAGCGTTTCCGTTCTCCTTGGCCCTAGTTGCACTGTAAGTGCGAAATGCCGGCGAGACAAGCCGATGCACAATTTTCTCTACACATGTGCGTTAGTTACCTTTCAAACCCTTACCTTCACTAGATGAATATATTTCCTACCTTCTATTTGAGTGAGACCACTTGATTCCGTGTACTATGCGAGATCTGAGCGCTTCCGTTCTCCCTGGCATTTGCACTCTAAGTTCCCATACTGACCGACCTGGCCAATGCACCATTTTCTCTATACATGTGCGTTGAATACATTTCAAACCTTTTTAGCTGACTAGATTTATATATTTCCCACCTTCTGATCAAGTGAGACCGTTAGGTTCCCTCTACTTTTTGAGAAACGAGCGTTTCCGTTCTCCCTGGCCTCACCTGCACTATGAGTGCGAAATGCCGGCCAGACTCGCCGATGCACCATTTTCTCTACACATGTGCATTAGTTACCTTTCAAACCCTTACGTTCACTAGATGAATTTATTTCCTACCTTCTATTTGAGTGAGACCACTAGATTCCGTGTACTATGCGAGATCTGAGCGCTTCCGTTCTCCCTGGCATTTGCACTGTAAGTTCCCATACTGACCGACCTGGCCAATGCACCATTTTCCATATATATATGCATTAGATTCCTTTCGAACCTTATTAGCTCACTAGATTTATATATTTCCCACCTTTTGATCGAGTGAGACCGCTAGATTCCCTCTACTTTTTGTGAAATGAGCGTTTCTGTTCTCCTTGGCCCTACTTGCACTATGAGTGCGAAATGCCGGCCAGACTGGCCGATGCACCATTTTCTCTACACATGTGCGTTAGTTACCTTTCAAACCCTTACGTTCACTAGATGAATATATTCCCTACCTTCTATTTGAGTGAGACCACTAGATTCTCTGTACTATGCGAGATTTGAGCGCTTCCGTTCTCCCTGGCATTTGCACTCTAAGTTCCCATACTGACTGACATGGCCAATGCACCACTTTCCATATACATATGCATTAGATTCCTTTCGAACCTTATTAGCTCACTTGATTTATATATTTCCCACCTTCTGATCGAGTGAGACCGCTTGATTCCCTTTACTTTTTGAGAAATGAGCGTTTCCGTTCTCCTTGGCCCTACTTGCACTATAAGTGCGAAATGCTGGCCAGACTGGCCGATGCACCATTTTCTCTACACATGTGCGTTAGTTACCTTTCAAACCCTTACGTTCACTAGATGAATATATTTCCTACTTTGTATTTGAGTGAGACCACTAGATTCCGTGTATTATGCGAGATCTGAGCGGTTCCGTTCTCCCAAGCATTTGCACTCTAAGTTCCCATACTGACCGACCTGGCCAATGCACCATTTTCTCTATACATGTGCCTTGAATACATTTCAAACCTTTTTGGCTGACTAGATTTATATATTTCCCACCTTCTGATCGAGTGAGACGGTTAGATTCCCTCTACTTTTTTAGAAACGAGCGTTTCCGTTCTCCCTGGCCCCACCTGCACAATGACTGCGAAATGCCGGCCAGACTGGCCGATGCACCATTTTCTCTACACATGTGCGTTAGTTACCTTTCAAACCCTTACGTCCATTAGATGAATATATTTCCTACCTTATATTTGAGTGAGACCACTAGATTCCGTGTATTATGCGAGATCTGAGCGGTTCCGTTCTCCTAGGCATTTGCACTCTAAGTTCCCATACTGACCGACCTGGCCAATGCACCACTTTCCATATACATATGCATTAGATTCCTTTCGAACCTTATTAGCTCACTAGATTTATATATTTCCCACCTTCTGATCGAGTGAGACCGCTAGATTCTCTCTACTTTTTGAGAAATGAGCGTTTCGTTCTCCTTGGCCCTAGTTGCACTATAAGTGCGAAATGCGAGCCAGACTGGCCGATGCACAATTTTCTCTACACATGTACGTTAGTTACCTTTCAAACCCTTACGTTCACTAGATGAATATATTTCCTACTTTCTATTTGAGTGAGACCACTTGATTCCGTCTACTATGCGAGATCTAAGCGCTTCCATTCTCTCTGGAATTTGCATTTTAAGTTCCGATACTGACCGACCTGGCCAATGCACCATTTTCTCTATACATGTGCGTTGAATACATTTCAAACCTTTTTAGCTGAATATATTTATATATTTCCCACCTTCTGATCGAGTGAGACCAATAGTTCCCTCTAGTTTTTGAGAAACGAGCGTTTCCGTTCTCCCTGGCCCCACCTGCACTATGAGTGCGAAATGCCGGCCAGAGTGGCCGATGCACCATTTTCTCTACACATGTGCGTTAGTTACCTTTCAAATCCTTACGTTCACTAGATGAATTTATTTCCTTCCTTCTATTTGAGTGAGACCACTAGATTCCGTGTACTATGCGAGA